GGTTGTCAATATATAAAGAATTAAGACAATAATTTTTAGAAGCAAAAGTCTGAATTGAAAATTTCAAAAATTATAATTTTTGTGTCATTTTTAGAAATTTTATATTTTTCCCGTACTTTTTATAAAATTCCCTCATTTTCCTGCACAGAAAAAAATGCAAAAACGAATAAAGTGACTTTTACTACTTTAAAAGTAAAACCTTAACTGTCCGCAGTTTTTGGCAATTTTTACTCTAGAAATAGTAAAATTTACTCCTGAAATAGTAAAAATTATTCCAAAAATAATAAGTTTTACTATTTCTAGAGTAAAAATTGCCAGAAATGCGCAGAAACTGTGGACAGTTCCAGTTTTACTTTTAAAGTAGTAAAAGTTACTCTATTCCTTTTTCCATTTTTCTCTGTGTGACCATAATCTCACTTTCCATGATTTTCTTCTAATTTTCCTGACCCTCGTAGCAACCCTGCTGATAATTTATATGACAAATGTATGCGCCAAGAATTTTTGTTAAATAATAATTCGAAGAAATAAAAATTCGGCTTAAAATAAATTCTAAATAAAAATTTTGACAAATTAATTTTAGATCCTATTCATGCATCTCGAATATGTTAAGTTAGATTATTTTATCATTACTGAAAATATAAATAAAAATTTATCATTTAATATTTATTATGTACATGGTTAAATATGTCATTTGATATAAATGAACTTTGAGTTAACTCTAAGCGTCAGATTATAAGTAGAATTTTGAAAGTACACATTATTTATACCCACTATTTCCTAATATAGAAAATTAAGTACATTGATAGCACACGTACTACAACTTTGTATGCACGGAGAAAAAAGAATTGTCGTGGTTACTAAGAATTAAGTCCACACAACAATTCCGGATTTTCAATACAGAAGCAGAAGTTTTATTTGTTTTTGGGACAAAAAAAATTGTTAAAATGGGATTGTTCGGTGAACAAACAGAATTGTTTGATGAACAAAGAAAATTGTTATGCAACAGTTGAAATAACAAAACTAAATTGTTAAATCGGCAATACAATTTGTTGTATTAACAAAGCTTTGATCCCTAATACAATTTGTTCAGTTCCTTCGCCTTCTAAAATAATCGACAGCAAATTTCCGTAGGTCATATCACCAGTTTCATTTGCATTAAAATCTGTGGAACATGCAGCTTCTGAATCAAATTCTTTGACATGAAACCAAAAAATTATTTTGAGTTGAAATTTGTAGTTAAATAATATTTAATATACATTTTGTACTTTTCAAGATGCGAGGTTATGTTCAATAGTAACCGAGTATAACTTACTGATAAACGATGAAATTGTCTTTTCATCCATTCACCACACTTGTAATAGATTTCTCACTTTAACCGGATTCATTATTTAACAGCACTTTGTCATTAAAAAAAAAACTAATAATAAAAGCAAAAATGGCACATGTGCCAGAAGCAAATGACGCGACAATCTGCACGCCATTTTGCGAGGATTCAAGATGACCACGTGACATGGAACAATAAACCTGTCAGCTGAACAAATCCGGATTGTTCCATCAGAAATCGACAGAGAGTTTGCTTCTGCAATTGTACAGAATTGCAAACTGAACAAAATTGACAACAATCCGAATTGTAATATTAACATTTCGAACTGTAATATCAACAAATCTACTGACAACAATCCAAAAAATTGTTTGCACAACAATTCCATTTTTCTCCGTGATGGTTTTCAGTATACATTCAGAAATTCTCGTGCATTTGCTCAGGGAACGAGATATATGGTCTCAAAGTTAAGGGGGGGGGCGACGACTGTAATACAACTTAGAGAAAGATGGAATGTGAAATGGAAAGAGAGAAACCAAGAGAATTGGAGAATTCGAGGCCGAGTCTGTGGGGTGGGTCAGGGTTAGGTAGTGTCGGAGGTTAGGTTCTCTCTTTTTCTCACTCATTTCTGCGCGAAAATAACAAAGACAGAGAGAAAAGCAGGGGATTGCAAAGACGACCATCGTGTCGATCGATAACACATTCGCCAGACATGAACTCCTCTATTTTTCGCGATAAATGTTTTTTTTTGGTGATTAACCCTGCTTTTGCGGCTAATCAACATTATATATTATTCAATAATGTTTCTTTGATTATACATTTAAAAATAAAGCTATGTTCTTGAACTTTAATATATTTGAAAAATGATTATCTAATTTATATATATTAGTTTCGAGTAGAGATGACAAAAATTAAATGGAAGTTTTTTTATTTTATTAAAAACATCTGCAAGGGCAGTTGCACATTTTACTGTTTTCCAGGTGGCACATACACTCAAGAGAAATCGATTGTCGCAACTTTTGGCGCAATGTCGCTTTTATACTTTCGGAATACAAGTCAGTGCCACGCAACGTCCTGCGTTTAATGGCAAATTTATTGACTTAGCTATATAGATGACATTTTTTTTTTGTTCATTTCTCAATAGTAAAATTTACTGATTTTTGTTGTTGTTAAAATAAAAAGTTGCGAATTTTGTCAAAAGTGCAAAAAAAATTATAATTTTATAAGATAACAGTTGTGTATAAAAATACGAATTTTATTTTTGCAAATTGAAAATTTTTTGATTTCTTTAGAAAAGAAAAAAAATTATATAGTATAGAAAATTAAATGTCGTTGTAGAACAGAAATAGGTGGCATCAGGTGTCAAGAACCGGACGCGTAACTACGACGACGACGACTTGAAACTCGTGATCAGAATTTATAGTTTGTTCGAATGCCTTTTTCTCGTTTTATCCAGACCTCGATTATAAACCACGTGTGTGCCAATCAACTTCCGTATTGCGCGGTAATACGTTATTATTTCGTTTTTTGTACAGAGTCGCCTTCAAAAAAAAAAATTATAACAAAAAACTTTCTTTGCCGTTCTTATTCGAAACAGTATATATTATTTTTAGTTTCATTAACTAAAAATTTAAATTTACGTTAAGGACATTCTTCGCGTCTACCATTTTTGAAAAAGTTCATGTTGTTTAAATTTTCTACAAATGTTTTTCTGTATGCTTTAAATGTATATATAGTAAAAATTTCAAATTCTAGAAAACAATTTTTAGTATTAGAATGGGTTCTAAAAATTTTGTACCCAGCTAATTAGCAGATTGATAATTTCGCAAAAAATTTCAAGAATTTATTGTTTCAAAAATTTTTGAAGGAGGAAGTCTTTAATTGAACTTGATTGTATATAGTCAGTAAAATAAATAAAAAAAAAAAGTAGGGTAAATGGAACACGGTATAAACATGATTTTCGTTGCTTTTTTTGGGGCCATCAGAAATTAACTTGGAACTGCGTAGAAAGTCTCTCGAACCAAACTTAAAGTCCTGATCCCCTTGTCCCCCTACCCTCTCTTAATTGACCGCATGCGAAATTTCCCCTCCTTGCAACTTCTTTTGCAATGGCGTGTAATGTTTGAGTGTGTTTGTATATGGTATGGGTCGGGGGAATCGACCAAGCACTTTCGGTAACTGCGTCACGGTACATACCAAATTCCCCATTAATGTATGCAGTACCGTTATTGGGTCCAGTGCCTTTCTGAACTCGAAAGTAAGGCAAAGTGACGCGCGAAATTATACTTTTGCGGTTAAACAGCAACAATTCTTTACGAAATAATGTATATAATACAACAATGCTAAAAATGTCAATTTCCTTTCAAATAAAAATATAATATTACTTTAGACTTTCAATGAAATAATATTAAAATATTTATGTGTAAAATTTTTTACATAACTAGGAATACTAAAGAAAAAAGTATTTACAAAAAAAAATATAAAATATTTTATTTGCAAACGAAGTTTCTATCAGTTATGAAAATTATTACAACATGTTTAAAGTTTGTGTACCTTATACGTTTAAAAATTGGTTCTAAAAATTTTTTCTCGATCATAAAAAAATTGTGTATCTTTATTCAGATAATTTTGCACTTTCTATATTTAGATCTTCATATATAGGAAAGTTTATTGCACTGTAAATATAAGCAAACTTTTAAAAAAAAAATTAATTTTGCTTAGAAAGTCTTTTCTATAAGTGTTCAGAAACAACTTGAGACTAATCTGCTGCTTTTTTAACACTGGAATGTATTATTAGCGGTTTCATGATTGAAGTAAGCTTTGTGTACAAGATAATTTGTTTTTATAAACGTTTGTAATTTTATGTGCGTGTATCAGACTCGGTTTAAAAAAAAAAAAAATTATCAATCAACTGATTACTTGGAAAGTAAATCATGCGGTTTAAAATGCATTTTATTTAATTATTAGTGAAATTTTTAATGAACTATAATTAAATATTGAAAAAAAAAAATAAAAATTAGAACAGACACATTTCTTTGATTCTATATTTGTCTGACGTACACTTTTCTTTCCATTTGAAACAGAGAGAAATTTCTTTTTACATTAACGAAATGTTCTTTCCTTTTTCTTTGCACAAAATCTCATTAGGGTTCGTAAATGTCTTTTGCATCATGACTAAATATTTTTTAAATTTGCTTAACTATTTTCAGGTCTTTGAATCCCTTTTAAGTTCTTAAGTATTCTTTTGCATACTTTAAATTTCTTTAATTGATTAAAAGTTTTGAAATTTCTCAAGTTAACTTGACTTTTTTTTGCTGCTTTAAATTCTTTTAAGTTTTTGAAATTCTCTAAATATCTTGGAAGATATAATATATAAATTATTCCTATCTGTATTATATTATAAGTCTCTTTAAATATTACTCGAAAATTTTTTGAAATTGACTGTCATTCATGAAAACTATATTACTTATATAATATCATGGGAAATAAAGATACATTTTTTCAAAATAAGTATATCAAATAACACAAAAATTTTCCAACTAATGATAAGTACAATATTTTTGAAAATGACAATTTTATTGGTTCGAAATATATATATTTTATCTGTCATTGTAGTATATAGTAGTAGATTTATTGCATTGTTCAAGAAAAGTTCAATATTTTTATATCTTGATTTCAGATACCTCAGGGGACGATCAGAGATACGGCAAAATCGCAGCATGCAACAAAAGCAGCAGCAGCAAACTTTCGATGTACACGTAAAGATGCGACATGTGATATAAAACTTCACCAGTTCTTCTTCACAATCCTCGAGAAATTCGAGGAGGGCAAACCGATCATCATTTCTCCGAAGAGCGAAGAAAAAAATTAATAACAAAAGTCAAATCGCTCTATACGAAACAAAGCTTTGTAGACCACAGCAGTCCTGATAACAACTGTCTCTTTCGTCAAAGACACACAAAATACAAGTTTTAGTCAACCTCATAGTGCAAAGGATAATCTGGATAAAAATCAAGAGAGAGAAGCTATTTTCCATTAAACCACGTGAGTGAGAGTGTAAAGACAAGAACAAAGAAAATAGTAACCAAACGTGATAAAGTGACTTCGATTTTTTTGATGCAAGCGTGTTGAAAATTGATTATTTTCTTAAGTGACTCCCAAAAGCTAAGCTTGTGGAAGAGAGGAAGTTAGTGATAACGGAAGTGTTGTTAGTGACAGTGGTGGTGGCGTCAGTGATTGACAGAAGAGGAAAAAAGAGAGCAGGCCAGTGTCGGGAGGCCGGCGGCGAATAGAGTGTCACGGTGGCCAGCTTAGTGAGTGGCAACGTCGCGGTGCGCTACGATGAGGCGTCGGGGGTGGTGGGGGCGGGGGCGGTCGTGCTGGCCCCCGCTTCCAGGCTAGCCGGCCCAACAGGGTCCAGCATGGACACCTCGGAAGGACCCACCGGTGTTGGCGTTGCCGTGGGCACAGGTCTTGTCGTCAAGGCCGAGACCTCACCGGAACATCTTGCCGGCACCTCGTCAACGGCCTCGACGGTAACCGGCCCCATTGGCACCGGAAGTAGACTATTCGCTGGTATTGCTAGCAGCAATAAACGACCGAGGCCCGACGATTGGCTCACTCCCAATAGTCCCAGTTCACCACAAAATTCTATGGCCGCGCAACATCTCATCTATACAACTCCACAACAACAACTCAGCCAACAGCAGCAGCAGCAACAACAACCCCCCATTGCACACTCTACACCAATTGGACAGAATCAACAACAACCATCCCAAGCACCAAACAACAATGGCTATGCGAGTCCCATGAGTTCTGGCAGCTACGATCCCTACAGTCCCAACGGTAAAATAGGTGAGTTTTATACATAAAAGTATATTAGATTCTCTATACAGTTCATGTGCTTGAGATTTTTCTAGAGATCAGTTCGTTAAAGATACACGGAGAAAAAGGTTATAGTGAATCCAAAAACACGTGTTTAGTACATCATTAGTATTGTAGAGTTTAACAAATTAGTACACTAAGAGCCTGGCTACACCGAGAGCCAACCAGGAGCATTAAATTTGATGCTCAGGCGTATTAAAGCCTACTGTTGGTTTAGTATAGCATACACTATGCGTTTAATACATCTAACAAAATTATAGTAAATGGCACTATCTGTTTAGTCAGTACAAAACAAACGATTCTATTTAGTAGATTCTAATCAGTGACATGAAATCTAGAGCTGTTGGTCCTTTTCATTATTTAGGTTTAATGACTAGTTAGTAATGGGACATTTAAATCGACCTGCGAACAGTGCAGCACACATTCGAGGACGAAAAAATTTCAGCGTTATCTCTGTAGTATCAAATATTCTGCATGTTTAATGCAGCGCCTTTTTAAAATAGCAGACGGATTTTTCAAGAGCACAGCGTATCTGTTGCTAAAATGACGTTTATTATGTCTTAAGAATAGGGCATATAGCAAATGTGCAGAATAAATTTATTTGACGTAGGGATACCAGGACGTCTAATGTTCATCTGCAACAGTATTTCCCTTAAGGATAAACGATAATTTCGGGGATCTCTTTCTCAATTTTTTCCAAATATGAAAGGTTTTTCTTCAAGTAGGGGTTCAAGACTGCATCCTAGTCAAGAACAGATAACAGAAAGAAATTTGTCTTGAGTACAGTTATAATTCTGACTAATCAAACCATACTCTCTAAATTTGAATCAGTGAAAATTCGCTAATTACCAGCGAATAGTCGCTATTTTAACCAGCCCAGAGTATGCAGCTGGGAATTAGCGAATAGTCACTAATTAAATCAGTGAAATCCTGATTTCGCTGATTGAATCAGTGACTATTCACTGGTTTCATTAGTGAGAAACTGTATGTGATTTTCTTTTAATTTTGTACAAAAAATAAGTCATTTTTTACAAATTAAACCATTTTATGTTTATTAAGAATTAAGAATACAAACGTTTGAAATATAAGTTACAAAAAATATTCTAAGAATTTTTTCTTAAAGTTTTAAATTTGACAAGTTTATATGTAACGAAGCAACTGAAGCATTACCTTTTGATTCAGTATTGTAAATATATACAATAAAATATATATATATGTATACAATATATATACATAAAACAGGAATTAAATAATAAACACTGTACAAAAGTAAAATCAGCACGACGCGAAAATTTGCGCAGACGCGATTTCGCTAATGAATTAGTGAACTTCACTTATTCTAGAGTGGATACTAATTCGCTGGCTGAAACAGCGAAATTTTCACTTATTCAGATTTAGAGAGTATATTGTATTAGTGATTTTGTTACAGCCATATTGTTGTGTTGTTTTATCCTTTCTGATATTACTTTACTCATGCCCTTGGCTGTATCAACAAAAACAATAGGCTAATATAATCTTAATTTTGAGACATCTCAAATATATTTCCCAACCAACAAAATAGTTGTTATTAGGAGAGTATATTTCTTTCATTGTTGTACCATTTTTATCATAACGGATACTATTTCCCGCTGTTATACAAACCGCCACTTTAACAAATGATAAAAATCAAGTGTTTTCATATATATAAAATCTAAATACTTTCTCAAACTACCAATGTATTCTGTATAATTAGATATATTATACCGTTTTGTTAGATTTATCGATAAATATTTCTATTTCGCCTGCGTTGGTAATGTGAAAATGAAACCTAAAATTTTTCTAATCGATTCAGAAAATAATAGTTGCTTGCCTCATTTTGATGAGATTTTAAATAAGCGAATTCAATGACCCAAATAATGAAAGCCATTTAACAATTAAAATTTACAAAACTAGAACGATTTTATTCTCTATATAACAGTCGATCGCGCATAATGTTTTTGTTTCTCCTATTAATCCACGTGTCTGATAATGTGTCAAGGAAAAAACGTATCCGAGCTTATCATCCTTCTGTATCGAAATAAAAGTCTGCCTTACAAGAGCTCTCTCGTATTCATTCGAAACGAAATGACCTATATAAAAGTTCACTCATTGTTAAAAACATTTTTGAAAGTAAGGATGAAATGAATAATAAGCATCACTGTCGATGAAATTTTTGAAATTTATGATAACACTAAATTTGCATTCATTTATTAATCAGATCTCAGTGTTTTTCTTTTTAAGTATACAAAATATTAATTATTAACTATTATTTTTCTCTCATGCGGTATTTAATCCGAAATATTAATAACACTTTTAAAATCTTTAAATTCCTAAAAACGATTTATTTGTTTAATGTGCAATCGATAAGATCATCGCTTCTCGTAACACAGAGCCAATTAAAGCGAAGCTCATTGCCTTTGCTTTCCCACCCTGACAATCATGGGAACTTAGCTTGGCAAAGTGAAATGTCTATTAATATTTCATATGGTAACAGATGAGGGGAAAAAGAAATTTTATCCAATTTTCTAATCCATACTTGTTTATGCAATTCAAATAACGATATATGTTTTCTTCCTTTTTTAGTCTTTTCTCATTTTTTTTTCCTCTTGTACATATCACTTTTATTCTTCCGCCTCGCAAGTGTCATTTAAAGTGCCCGCATTGGTGAAGGTCTTGCGCGTTCTAACTTTCTGATGACAATATGATATGAAGAGGTGGAGGAGAAAAGTTGCGCGCGAACGAAGAGGCCCCCGCGAATTAAATTTTACATATATTCTGAACATCTTTTATACGCTGTATGTTCATATATATATACAAATGTAATTTATGGATTGCGGTTAAATAATACACATTACATATGACAGCACCGCGAGAGTAAAGAAGTCTAGCTCACTCAGATTAGACTCATAAATCCTAAATGAACTGTTCGCTTATTCGTGTCAAATCTCAGACTTGGATTAATTTTACCCAAACTGTATTTTTTATGTATAAATCTTGCGGGAAAATCTTGAATAAAAGAACGTAGAAGAATTTGGCAATGATCCCACATATATAGCGGTTGACATAAATTTTTTTTTTACTTTTTTTTCGATCGCAATATTAAATTGCGACTTAAAAAAATCATCTCTGTCATGAAATTTATTAAAATTTTCAAACTATTAATTAATTACCACAGACATTTGACAGTTTTTACCCTAATGTTTTTTTTTTTTTATACAATTTTTTTGTATCAACTTAATATAAAACTTAAATTCACAGAAAAAACTTGGACTCATTTTTGTTGCAACTCATTTTCTTTTGGGTATCGAAATGAGTATGGGACAAACTTCATGTTATTCAAAATGATATTGGCTGGAATTTCAGATTTCTAAGTTGGCATCATAAGCAGAGTAATTTTGTATTTCAATTATTGTTTCTAATATTTCAACAACACCAGAAAGATTATTTTGACCAGTACGAATATTTAGAAGTTTTTAAATAAAAATTATTTATTATTATTTACGTAGATAATAATTAATTTCATAAGTTTTTAAATTTACCGCTATTATTTAAGTTGGCAGTACCGTTCCTGTTGTCAAAACACATGTTTTCATTTTTCTAACCTAAAAACATATTTCCTTTATTATTTTATTACGCGATTACAAGCAATTTTTAATCAAATATATTAAGTCTAGCATAGCGTGTTATTTACTTCTTTGTAATTATTATATTTCATGTTTTTGTGCAAAATTATTCGTTATTTCACAATATTTTTCCATTTTTCTTTTTCTCAAAATGAAACTTGCCTGTTTCATTTTGATACTTTTACCTTAGAACTCGAAATGAGACAACCAGTTTCATTTTTGTTGCGAATCAAATTGAGTATAGAATCTATACTCAATTTGAATTCAGGTTTTTTCTGTGTTTATGATGTTTCTGTGTAGTGGATAATTTGAAAAGATTTTAATTATTTTTGTCAGTTTATTGCACGTGCTTACTGTTAATAAGAAAAAGAGAGCAATATAATCAGTGAGGCAGTGCCTGGCGGATGTGACGTCACTTTCCTACTGATTTGCCTCTCTTTCTCTCTGTCTCTCCTTTTTTCTCTCCCTATGTATGCATACTTCCGCCACTCCAACCAGTTTGCACTACTGCCATACTGCACTGGCTGCAGTATACCTTAAACTTTTATTTCAGTATCATAGCTTCTAAAAAATAATATTTTTATTATTTGATATAGATAATTAAGGACAATTGACAAAAATTTGTTTATTTATATAAAATTTTATTCTTTTAATTTTCATTTATTATAAGTAAAAAATAATTTTTTAAATTATTTGGTAAAAAAATGTTTTTAATTTTGTTTGATGATTAATTTTCTTCCATTTATTATATAAAAACAATTGCAGTATTTCTTCATGAGTAAAATTTTTGTGTCTGACTTCTAAATGTTCTCTTTGATCTTGGATTTACTTTTGTGTGTATATAAAAAAAAAATTGTTTCATCTTTTTAAACAAGTTATATATATATGTATATACAAATGTGCGGTGACTTTTCTTTCTCCTGGCACTCTGCTTTTTCACTCTCTTTCACCTCCTTTCCTACTTTTCTTTTTTTTTTTTCTTCATCATCATCATCATCATCAACATCATCATCATTTGCCATCCTTTCGAAAGTTTGTTCCCCTTCTCTTTATTATTTACTCTTAAGTCTCGTTAACGGTCTACGAACCAGAAAAATAATGATGATATTATAACGGGTTCCTTATTACGAGCACATTTGAACAAAAAAGGAAAAAAAATATATATATATATACATATATATATATATGTCGGTAAAAAGAATTAGACCCATATTTATAATGAATAGTGTGCGGTCTCTCTTTTTCAACACAGAAAATTTCACGTCAAAGAGATTGTCGAATAACTCCTCCTCGTTTTATTTTTTATTATTCGACTTACTTTCATAACAT